TTAAAATAAAGTATGGTATATGTATGAATATATACACAAACTTAAGTTGCTACATTTACCAGCAATAATGAACAATACAAATATGACAACCGAAGATATACCGAAGAACTAAAAGTACAAAAACATCTGTAAGCGTACGTCTTATACTGTGGATATTAGTAGATTGCTCAAAGACATTTGAACTGTAATATTTTGAAAACATTACCACATATGTAAAACATTATGTTAGCTGAAGATTGCATTATTCTAAGTAAACCATGGAAGTATGCAACTATGCTGTGCTGTATCCTTAGGGTTTTAAAACATTAACAAGACGACTTCGTTTTGATTTCTATATTCTGTACAAACTTATATTCGAGTGCTTTAACTTTCTCCAAAAACTTTCTCTTCGTGTCCCCGGCCATGTGATTAAATCTTCAAGTACTTTTTATATTTCCTTGCCAAGGAAAATTCACACAACTAAACAATCCGTCAAATCATGCGTACCCGATATTCATTTTTTTAACGTTAACGTCACAGTTTCATACGTTAAACGCGGGTGTGCTTGCTATCATTGCTATCTTAAGTTTAAACTTGTTAAACTTGTGTTTATATAACTTGTTAATTGGTAGCCATATCACGTATAATACGATACTGAGTAAATACAGTCGCAGACAAATGCTTACAGCCCACACAGCAAAATTTAATTATACTATTATATTTTGCTAAACGCTTTTTTTTCAAACTCAATTTTAACACTATGAATTTAACATCGAAGCTATCATGTAACATTATTCCCAAGATGTTTGACTGTCCCGTTAGAGCTACTGACGTTGGTTTCGCCTTCTGGGATTGTTCACGACTTGAATCCTAAAAACATTACATTTTAATGTACAACACAATACCTAGGTATGTAAAATGTCAATTATTTAGGTACTACATTAGAAATTACCGGTTGCCTGTAATAGCAAAATACCAGTTGAACGATACTAGTCGGATTCTTTTCTTGTGACAATAGAAACAATGCGATATTATTGCTGGACGTCCGTTGCTGAGCAAAATCAAATTGGACGGATTAGCGTGTTCGGTGCGATGTCGGCAGATAATACAATACGATGGTTCACTCATCAATCTTTCATCGGCTCTCAGAGGAGGCTGATAGTTTAGGCGACTGGAAACCATTAACGCATTGTTATGTGTTGGTTTTTAATGTATAATTATTTAAATATGACCGATGACAGTTTACCGTGCTTGTGCCGCGGCTAATACCAGTGGTCGAGATTTTCTTTTAGGCTGTATAGTCCAATTTCGAGAGACTGGCATATTTTTTTTTACCATCATGAATGAAAAACAATTACAACTGAGGTACTTTATTAAAACACGTGGAAAAATTAAAAATGAATAGTTGCAATTAAAGCTAATGTATTGCTAATACTTCAGGCATTTTTAAGAAATATCTATTACAATATTGTACGTGTTGTTATGATTTTAGACAAATCTATGGGTTGCCTATAGTGATGTGTAGTCTCAATCAAACAAGCCAGTGGACGTGGAATCAAAATATGATAATATTAAAATTAAATTGTTAGATTTACAGCGAAAATGCCTACAACAAAAATCAAAGCAAATAGTATTATCAATCAGTTTAACATGAGTGAGTAAAAATATAATTTGTAGGATAAAAAAAACTCTACTAGGTAGATATGTTTTAGACATCCCCGAAAACAAACAACAAACATTGTAAAGTGTAACCTAACAGTGAAACAATTAAACATGTGTGGACATTTTTGACTGAGAATTTTTTTTCCCGACCACTCAACGGATTAGTTTGGTCCAATGGCGCGATCTTCAATAAATTATTATAATGCAGTAATTTTATTTGGACTAAAAATAAAAAAAGATTTTTGACTTTACTTCGGGAAGAGTAAATAACTTGAAATTGTAACAATACTGCTATCTAGCTAATAAAACTAAAAAAATATTTAGCGTACTTATCGTATCCAAATTAAGAGTTGTTGAGTACACTTTTTATAACCAACAGATGGCACTGCGCGTTACATGTTAGTAAAAGAAATTTCGCTCATGACAAATGTATATATTTCAATTTATCAACTCATTTATTGATATGCTCAATAATGTCAGTAAGAATAGTCGTCAACGTTATTTGAACGTTATTAGACAATGTAGTTCAAATAGCTGATATTGGGAGAAAAATAAAATTTTAAAATAAATGCCACTAACCGAAACGCAAAGAAAATATTTCAATTGTCATTTCGAATGATGTGGCTTTAAGAAACAACAAATTTAATTAATTAAAATAATAACTGAGGTGGAGAACATACTCTGCTGTTCGATTCTTGAAAGTTTTTCTTTGTACTTCTTGGCCTAAACCAATTATAACCACCAAAATATTAAAGCAGCTTAGGTAAAAATCATCAAAAAACTCTAGATTGTATTATTTTTCTTTTAAATTTAAATCCTTAATAATGTACTAAAACATTTATATAAGAAATATAATCAGAATAAAGAATACACACATTGGATCAGTTCAAGTTTTTTTTTTTTTTTTGAAACAAAGTTAATCAATTTGATTTGCACAGCAGAAAATTGTAAATCACATTTTGTACACCAGCGCTAAGAATACAATGTTTTTTTGCTAATCTGTGCCTATATTATTTACAATGTGAAATAAAGTCGTATAGAAAATACATTTAATAAAATAGAATAAATCAAACGCTAGTTTACACGAGTTAAAAAAAAAAAAAATAGTAATACCAATAACTTATTTACTAATAAACCGACTAACATATAATTTGGAAGTACTGGTAATGTCAATGATACATATAACAATCTAACAGTGAAAATACATACAGTCTACAATGTTATTATTTATCGAAATTAATATCACATTAATAGAATTTAATTATAGAGGCAGCGAAATTCCATTTGCAAATGGAAATCGACTACTAAATCAAAACTTGGGCACGAATTCGTGCAGGAATGTAAACAAAAAACAAAACCATCAACATGATTATTATAAGTTGAACGCCAATAATGGGTTGAGCTATTTTATTAATAATTTGTAGGAGACTATTTTTCGGAAACGTAAAACACTATAGTTACAGATATTATTACATTAAAACGGCAAATTCATCAGCTGAACAACAATATTTGTATGATTGTGAAAGACAGATGGTAACATACACAATTAAAGGGCTCTAAAATGAACTTAACGCATAAAAAACATAATTACAATCGAAAATAAGAAAAAATAATATACTTATATATATATATATAATATATTTAAAAAAAACAATGTCAACAATAACAAAAAGTTGTTAAAAGTATATAAAAAACGAAAACAACTGTGTACAACTCTTAATATCGTATCAACATAAATAAAAGTGCATTTATTCGTACAATAAAAAGGTGCGTGAAATATCCGTTGAAAATTTGTTTACAAGTATAATAAAACTATATAAAAAAAAAGTCACATTTAACAGACAAAAATGTTTGTGCCGAAAGTGATAAAAAGTTGTTTTAAAATGTTAATTAAAAAAAAATGATCTATGTATAATATTATCAACAATCGAGTATTAAAATGTTAAAGAAAAAAATGTCCATTATATTTCATTTGTACCTATTTATAATATTGTTTACAAATTATTGTATGATTAATTATTATTCAATGTATTGTAGTTATTTTAATATTTAAAAACGTTTTATTTTATGTACACCCAATGATCGCGAAAAGGATCTTGTAGAAGGCACTTTTTCAAAATTCCCTACCGGTGTATGGATTTTTGTGATTTCATGGATATTTTAAATCTAAAATTCGGTATGCACGACAAACCCAAATGAACATGATCCCTCAATTCTGTCTTATAATATTACCCTATGGTTCGTTTTGACATTATTACAGCACAAAGAGGTAGTTGACGTATCTTTATCCGATAATAAAGTTACACTTAACATTCGTCGTATGTATTTTGTCGTTATAATAACTCACATAATCCTCCGTGAGTTGTACAGAGACAAAATTTAGCAGATCATTTAAAAAGTACCCTTCGTAAATGCATGATAGTTTTTACAACTTTTAACAGTGGGAGGTTTATTTGTGTTCTATAATATCAACGCACTTGAAAATTTGGTTTACAATACATATACTATAAACAAGAAAGATAGTCTTAGCGCAAAAGTTAAAAAATGTTAACGTTACTCCTCATCATGAAATATAAGATTCTACATTAAGAATATTACAAAACTGACATTACAGTAAAAAGATAATTCAAAGAGGCGAAAAACTGAAAAAAGATTGTGATTAATGTTCTGAAACGAAAGTCTTGTTTAAAACATACTGTTGTTAACCCGATTGTACTAGTATAGAATTTATAACATATTTTGCTAACAGAATACACTGAATTGCTCTAAATTTTCTAGATTGTATAGTATATTCAATTAATGCAGTTTATTATCCAATTCATACATCGGTTGATCCCTAGAAACTTTTTTGGGTTTTAAAAGTAAGAGATTACGGATATGCTACTACCAAGTGTAACACATTTAAGAAACATAATTTAGCTGTCCTCAGTTATTTTCATTTAAATACGCTAGCCAAGGAATAGTTCATAATATGTACTCGCATTTGTAAACTAGATTTGTGGTGATAATACAAAATACTTTTTAAGAGAAACTTGATAGGAGTTATATAAAAACCAGGTTAATAAATGTATTGCACTGGCGAAGGCACTAAATAAAAATATAACGTTATTATTATCGTAAATGATTGAATTAAACAATAATATAGAATCTAATAGTTTAATACTTAATTTAATATCTGGTTAAAAAAAAAAATCTATAATTATCATTGTGCTTGTGATAAATTAATAACAATTAAAACAAGTTAAAAAAAGTTTATCGGGCATTGTCTATTGTTATAAATGTATTAAATTTCAACAAAAATAGTACAACTGAGAAATGACTAGAATTTATATAACACATCATACACTATTTAATTTAAATAACATTAGATACTTGAAATGATCGTCAGATTTACAAATGGTACCTACTTTATTAATTAATACAATTTCAATTTAAAAATATCACTAATTAGCACTTATAGTTTGAGTAATACTAAATAAAGATAATAGTATTTTAGGTGTTTTTGGTCTTTTTGTTTAAAGTATAGGTAATAATATTATTTTAGAGTACAAAAAATAGTGATGTCTAAATTACTTAATAAATGAACAAAATATAATAATTTGTTTAAAAAAAAAGTCATCGAATTCAAATTCACAAAGATTTTTTCGCCAAAGTTTCAGTGTTCGTCCAACAATAATACTTTGATTGCTAAGAGCCCTGAAATATTGTCTCTAATTTAAAAAAAAATGTATTTATCAATTCATAGAAAACAAAAAAATATTACAATATTTTATACATAAATATATTTTAATAAATAATATAATTACACTTAAAGTATCTTAAGGTACACATTAATTTATATTATTCAACGGTGAATTGTATGTTACAAAAAGTCAGTTGGCCTGGGAGGGCAAGGTTTTTTTTTGAGCGATTCTGATCTGGGAGGCGGGGGTGGCGACGAATCCTTAGGGCTGTACGGTCTGAACGGCGGTAAAACAGAAGAAGTAGACCTAGTTCGAGACTTGCTACGCCGGCGCCGGACCATTAGCGGTAACTTAGGCAACATGGGCGAACTCAGGTCGTCTGTGCTTTTAGTCCGACAACCATGTATATCGGATACGCCAGGCGATGGTAGCGAAGAGGGCAACACAGCCAACGTGTCTAATTTAGTTAATATCCTCTGCATCATCGCCTCGATGGTAGTTAACCTCAGGTTTATAGAATGAACGTCAGTCTTTAGGTCTTGCATTTTTGCCGACAGATCTTCTTGGTCTAGAGGCGGCGGTGGCAATATGAGTGAAGAACACTGTGGAGGTGGTGGTGACATTGCATAAGTGGAATCCGTGGATGTGGCTACCGAAATCATCAGAGGCTGCTGTTCCGATTCCGACCCTGGAGGCCGTATGCTTTCGTCCGTCTCTTCGATGGTCCTAACTTGCTGTCCAGCAGCAGCAAATGGTTCAGCGACCGTCGTAGAAACTTTTTGTAGTTTTGGAAAGACTTTGTGCCCGTTGCCGGTCTGCTGCTTGCCCGGCGAATCTCTTATTTTGGCCGGAGCACTTTGCAAACTCACCACCGAATTGTCCGCAGAGTCCGTGCTTCCGTTGCCCCCGCCCAATACCTTTCCCCATTTGGACACCTTTTTCGGGACAGGCTTTGGAGAGGTACCTTTTGGCCCAGTAGAACACGAAGCCTGTTGATCTTCACTCTGCTGTCTTAACACCAGCGGTAATACTTTAGGTCGACCACCGGCAACACCGACATCTGAAGGATCGGCCACAGTTCCTGAGCATTAAAAACGAATTTCGTCCGTAAGTATTTAATAATAATTGAAACTATAATAAAAATCAAACCTTCATTTTTGTTCTCGTCAGACTGTTGCAGGCCAGGTACCTGACTGGGCGCCCTATCTTTTCGGAACTTGGTAAATATTTTTCGCACAAGTTGATCACGTTGTTCGTCCAGCTGTGGTTCGTTTTTTCGTTTTTCGGCTAATTCTTTCTCTCGTCGTACGTCTGCCACTTTGCGGAATATAAGCTAGAAATCCGAATTCTTTCATTTAACTAAACTTGGACACATTTGTAACGTTTGTGCGTATGATGCTTACCCTATGCCTAAGATTATAAGTGAGTACTAGATTCCTTGAAAATGAGTTAGCAAACGCCTGATAGAAATCCAACACTTCTAGAAGCCTGTCCCTTTTGATAGTGTGCAAATCACAGTACGTAAGGGCACGGACGTTCGCAGCCGATTGACCTAGTGCCGTATCTTTCCAAAATGAATCGCCAAACACGTCTCCTTTACCTGAGTGAAATATTTGGCATATAATATTAACTCATAAGCCATATGTTACAAAAAAAAATTTCTATTATCCATAACTTATTAGTATACCTACATAAATATATTATTTTATTTTATATAGAATCGAAAAGTTTTAATAATTACAATTCTTCAATATAAAAAAAAATGTACCTAAATTCTTAATTTAAACATTTGTTTCATTTTCAGTAATTGTACTATGCAACTTTACACTATAATTATTACAGTAATAATGATTTTAAGCTAACCCGACTTTTTTTTACAATATCATAATCTTTTAAAAATGTAATGTGGTGGTTAAATCACCACATGGATCATCTAATATAATATATCAACGACTAACGAAAATCGTTGTTGGAGCTTAGTTTGAACACTAGATGGCTGCCTACCTAAGATGGCGACAACTTCATCGTCTTGAATTACTTCTAGAGAACCCGTCACAATGAAACAAAGCGAATCGATAGACTCGCCGGTGTGGAAGAGTAGATCACCCGGCGCTGAGTGGCTCATAGTAAAGTGCATGGCAAGGGCGCGCAAACAGCCGTCGCTGGCCAAACGGAAAGCGGGATGCTCGTTGAACACTTTGCGGTTCAGATGTACACAGATGTCTGCCTTCATATCTTTCGGACAATAGTTCAAGACCTGTAAATCAACGAATGACAAAAATATCAATTTAGCGAAAACGCGACATTCCGATCTTAACGATAACGGGAATGAGTAGTTTGGTTAAATTTTTTTTTTCCCCCGAAATTGTGGATCTAGTAGAACGTTCAGCGGTCGTAAATTATTTAGCGAAAATTGCAATATTTGTATTCTAAAACAGTAGAATCAGTTGCGGAATGCGGTAAACCCGTCACCGCCATTGTCCGTTAAGACAGCAAATGCAATCAATTAGTCAATCCGTACTTTGTCTGTGTCCAAACCCCTGGTCATTGCCCACGTAGACACTACGTAATCCATAACTCGCTCGGACAAAGCTTTGGGCACTTCGTGGAGCTTCATAAATTCGCGGACGTTGTTCAGCATGTCGTGGTACTTGGCAGTGGCCGAAGTCATCTGTTGGATTATGGTGGTGACGTGACCGAAAATGGTGGCGTATAACAGCGCTGTAACACACAAATAATAACAATAACATTATAATCATATCGTACAACGATACCAGTCTAGAAACTGTTGTTGTTGCGATCACACAACACCGGCGGCAACGTTAGTTTTGTATTGTGCGCGCCAATGAAACGATTCTGAATCATTGCACTTACAAGCTATGACCATCATACATATGGTGAAGATCTTTTCGTTATCCGTCTCGGAAGCAACGTTGCCGAACCCCACGCTGGTCATACACGACATGGTGAAATACAGTGCTGTCACGTACATTGTTTTTCTAGGTGGCCCGTGTACGAGTTCGGTGGAGTTGGAATGGGCGGTCACTATGTACGAGTAAGGATATTGGGTTATATTGGCTAATTTCCATAGCCACGAATACTGCATTCCGTTTTCAGCATCAGACCGACCTGGAGAAAGAGTTTCAACACGTTATTACCGTTTGGTGCGGCAACAGGCCAATAGTAAAATTTCATGTTATTTTCAAAAAAAACCCAGAAAGTATACTATAATATTTCAAATACACGGACTTATGGAATTTCGCTGGCGCAACAGACTAATAACGGAGTCCGTTTTTCAGAGCTAGCCATTGTCGATTCTCATTCTGCGATTCTGTTGTTCACTTCATACCGTCATTTAAATACTTGGGTACCGACCATTGTTGTTGGATGCGCGTATTCACCTGACCGCTTTGGTTTCTCATCCATTAGAGCTCAATTGTTCAGCATATTTCATTGTACCCAAGTAATGCTGGTATATAGAATACAGCACACGTCAACTAAGCTCTTGCTCTTATATTTTTCAAAATCATGATATTTTATACCTAGCCGCGGAATAATGTTGGAGAACTCTTAAAACCGTATAAATTGCTAAAAACGAAACTAGAAGTTCAACTTTTAGTAAAAATCAATGAGTTCCCTTTTTAAAATGTATGCTCATATAAAATTCATCATGAAATGTATTTATGTAAAAAAAAAACACGTACGAGGCATTTCACGTCTACTTCAATTCGAAGAAACAAAACACCGTGTACCACCCATATATACACTATCTACTACACGACTGATTGGAATGTATGGAAACTCATCCGGCAGAAGCAAATGCCAACATGACACCAGTTACTGTCGGCTTTGATGTACTAACTTAGTATCACAACATTTTCTTAAATTAACACTTCACGAGTACACAAAATGGCGAAATATCAAAAAAACGTTATACCTAAAAATGATTTATTAATGGACGATAATAGAGGCAGATTACGGTTACCGCATTTTTAATGTTCTCCAAGTTTTATTTTACTTTTTATACCGCCATTATACGATTTTATGTATGGTTTATGTTAATCGGTATTTTTTCGGTATGCGTGCTATATTCTGTAATTTTATAACAGCGAAATAATAGGCATACGACAGCAGTAGGCATAAATTAAGATGGCGCCAATTTTATAATAAAGGGAAGGAATGTGGTTGTGGAGGGCTGGCCAAAAGCGATTGCTCTAGGGTACTTTTGATGGTTAGCACGACTATTGCAATACAGAGAATATGGAGAAAGTAAAAACGGCGGCTAACTCTGAAAGAATTTCTAAACGTCAGCGAAAAACTTAACATTGGAACGCACTTATCGTTATTGTAAATATTACTTTAATTGCAATTAACGAAATATACATACTGTAATTATTGTGATAATTTTTCAATAAAAACTTACCTATGGAGTACCATATACAGGCGAGCCAATGAGCGACTAACATGTAGAAACACAACAGCAGTATCAACATTGCTGCTCCGTACTCTAAATATCTGTCAAGTTTTCTTACTACCCTGCCAAGCCGCAACAACCGCACCACTTTCAATGCGCTGAATAGACTTCCAATACCCTATTGGGAAAAAAAAAATTATTCGTCATCTTTCGGAAACACCTGTGTAAACAAAAAATGTCTATCTTATATCAACCGGTTAGCACATTTTACGTCGGACCGGTTGGTGGTGGCAATCGACTAGGCTACTCTCTAAGATTTTAGTTGAGATACTAAACTGTTATCAAGTCGATTGGTGACTATAGTAGGGCTGCTTTGGAAGCCCGTCGCCCAACAGCTAGAAACTTTTTAGCGAATACCAAAAGTTCGAATTTAAAAGCTTTACATACCGACCCATAAGTTTGAATCGCGATAAGACATCACGTCATAATATTATAATACATATCTCGAGGGTATAGGTATTTACGGGATTTAAGTTCATATTATTTTTCCCAACGATACCACACATCACCATATTCCTTCCAAGTAGATTTCATAAGTATAATTTGTTTACTCTGTTACATTACAATTTATCCTGTCAATAAAAATATTACGTTTTTACAACAATTCTAGTAAAATCATTCGTCCACACGTATATATGACTATATTATTTATGCGTTCAATTTATTTTGCGTTGTTATAAAAATTAGAATTAGAATTAGGAGATTGAAATTTAAAACGACGCAATCATTTGTCGTGGTTCGTCGTCTATCTGTTAATAAAAACATAAAGTTGTTTCGAGAACACGCATAACGAGTTGTCTTTCAAGTTTTATTAGTTCCTCATAATGTTGTCTTAACGTATAGCGGACACGCTTTAGTAGTAAGACTTCGGCAAACGACGGTCGCGTACCATTTAGTACTCGGATCCGAAAATTACGGAATTTCATTATTACGGGGTTTTTTTTTTTCTCTTTCTCTTTTTTTGCGTGCTTTTAATAATACAGATATTAATGCGGCAATGACATAAAAGAAGAACATTGCATAATGAAGGAAACCTGGTCGAATTATTTTTACTGCAACCGTCAATGTCGTTTTATCTCCCTACTCCACGCTGTTTTGTAGCGTCTCCTAAATGAAACTGCAGCTGACAAACGGCACGACAGAACGTTAATAAAATAAATTGAACGAAGGTTTTCCCATGGAAAACAATTCCCGAGACAATATTGGTTAAACCGGCAAGTAAATACGATTTGTTTTCTTCTTGTCCGTAGATCATAGCCTAAGCAAACTTAATTCCCATTCCTTAGAAAAATACAAGACATTTTTTATATTTTTATTTTGAAAAGTGAAAATTGTATTTTTTTATTTTAAATTATTTTTGCATCGCTATATGCTTGCACCTGTTCACTGAATTATTAATATGAATCAAAAATTCAATTTGGGAAAAGAAGAAAACATATCCTGTGGTTCATCTTAATGTCTTTTTGTCTTGTTTTTTCCAACGCCTTACTCATTTAAAGGCTTATGCATGAACATTTATATAAAACAAATATTCTCACCTATTGAGAATTTAACATAAATGAAAAATACTTCTACTTGCAAACAAACATAAAGTAATATTTCTCAGTTTTTTGTCAATGTAAAACTATTATAATTATCTCAGGTTGCTTTTCTCCCGATTATGCTTTTAAGTTTTTTAATTAAAGCTATCTCACATTATTTGAAAAAGAGGTTAACGTTGTACTTTTTCTAAAAAAAAATTATTATATAGTTTCAAATTTCAAAGTGAATTCACAAATACTTATAATTTAGAAAATAAATAACTTTAAATTTCAAACAAAAAGCTTTTAGTTTTATTATGTTATTGTGTTATAAATTTTAATTAAACGTCAAATAAAAAAATGCATTTGATCTTAATAGTTATTTGTTGGGTATAATTAATTACACAAAAACATGATCAAAATCACGTTTTAACATTTAAGATTATGATGTTATAGTTGAGAAAAAAAATCCTCTCGTGTATTCTTTTTTAATTATATCAAATCGATAAATATTTTGAGTTTAGGTAGATTGTAATCATTATTTTAATAACCTACATTAAAATATATACTAAACAAATATTCTGTTTATTTATTTTGTTTGTTTATTCATTAACTATAAATATTTATAACCAATGGCGCATGTTAAGTAAATTATTTTATCACCTTAAAATGTTTTGAATGCAGTTATTTATTCATGTGCTATTATCTTAAAAATATTAAAATAACTTATGTTTCATACCTAAATGTATTTCCATTAATTAAATTTAGAAAACTGAGAGTAATTAAACAACATAAAGTAGAGTTTTTTTGAAGACGTGCATAGTTATTCTCGAAGTTCATATTATATTTTATCATTTATTTTAATTTTAGACCTTTTATGACTATGTAATTATACCTATGGAAGCGTTGAACACTGTACACTCCATTTTTGTTTTTATAAAGTAAGGGGATTTATACACTACAATTCATTATCGATATGAACATCTTTATCGTTTTGAGTTTTCTATATTGTTTTTAGAGATCATGCGATATTTAAGTAAGTAATTATCTTTTTGGATCTGTTTGGATGTAGGATTTATCTCGGTGGCTTATGGTTTTATGTGCGCAAGGGTTATAGTCACATTCGCCGCTAAGCTCCTATTCTTTATAGTGGACACGTTCGAATAGATAACATAGGATAATGTCTTAATATCAGATCTTTTGACAGTCTGTGCAATTTTCAGTTGATCCTGCTATGTCAAAAGGACGACACCAACGTTCTGAGCTCGGATTTAAGACGACAGCAGTATCATATTAAATATAATCGAAAAAGTTCAACTCAAAATCATACTCAATATAGCATACGCCTGCAATGTCCGACAGGATATCTAAATATAATATCGTCGTGTTGAAATGACGAACATAATATTACTTTCTCGCAAAATATATAAATCCAACAATCTGTATTGTTGTCATCATACCATGTTATTTGACACTAAACGTGTACTTTTTTATTACATAACTAAAATGATTAAAATATATTCAATGTTATTTTTATAACATACGCGTCTAATTTGAGTTTAAAATGGAAGCAACACCCACGACTACACTTTAATCCGTTTGAATTCACTGTTATTTAACCTTTATAACATAAAATTGTATATTTTCATATGTAATTTGATATGATAATCGAGGAGGGATGATCTTGTATAAACGGGTGCAGGCATTTCGTTTTTGAAAACTAACTACACTTGACGAAAAGATGGATGTAGGAAATACCGTCAAGGCGAGGACGACGGGACGAGTTACAATTATTGCTGTAAGTCGTGAAACTAAATCGGAAATTCGATACGGTAATAACGCCGAAGAGAATCAACAAACTACATTGGGTATGCTTATCAAAAGGGTATCCATACTAACTACGTTATAATATTGTACAAAATGTTATATCGTTTACCTACCTTATTGATATCATTATTTATGGCGTGTAACATTGCACCAACACCGTATTATATTCTGAGAACAATTTGGCGAACTACTTAAGTATTTTTATATAAAAAAAAATGAGACCGAAATCGAAAAACGGCAAAACCAATATTCAAACAACGTATTTTTAAAATACCACGACACGCTATTTTATTAATATTTGCAGTTAATTCTTACTTCTTTTCATAAACAATTTCGTTGTTAAAAAAATAATATTGTGTTTTAATCCATTGTTTTCTTAAAAAAAGTATTTAACTAAAATGGATAACAACTTGGTACATTTGAAAATTAATTATTAACAAAATGATAAATACATATCTGCCTATTAATAAGTCATTTTTATAATTAAAACTTATTTTTACTTTTTTTATCATTTTTATTGCGAAATTAATAGAAATAATATTTATGTTTTTTTTAATTGTTACCACGCTGTTTTATATTTTCTCAATAAGCATTTACTCTATTTTTTAATTTACTTGTTTTTTCCCCCGCTAGCTGCGCCTAATCAATTTTTGGACCCATTCGTTTTGTAATACTATTTTTGAAATATTATTTTTTTTTTTATTTCGAGTGTGAGTACAAACTATATTTACTACGCACCTCTTCGTCGTGGTCGAACGCATTGAACACGTCGTACGGCAGACAGGACAGCAAGTCGATAATAAACCACGATTTTAAATAGTTTCTCCGGATCACTTTTGGGTCAGAAACCACCTCCCCGCCTGGGCCGACGAATGTCGTATGGAAGTTGAGCACAATGTCGATAAAGAAAATGACGTCGACAATGGAGTCCAATACCAGAAGCGACACGTCCTCGCTGGTCTTGTTCTTGAATGCCACGTTGTAGGGTACCATGATTGCCGTGTAAAACGTCAAGCACAGAATCACCCAGTCCCAGATGGCTTTGAATGCACAATAGTGCAGCAGGATGTGAGGCGGCGTTTTGGGAGCCTCTTGTCTGTACTGTGGCATCACGTCCGCATTTAGGCTCATCATCTACAAATCAAGCTTGTATTAGGATTTGTATTCGAACAGACACGTCGTCAAGTACATTTAATTAACTAAACGAATCCAACTAATATGTCTTAATTTATCCACACATCGTTGGAATTTCAATAGAACATTTTCTAATAAATAAAAATTAATGATTCGTATCGATTTTCCCAGTAGGTACATCATATTTTGTTCTTATCGTTGTATCTTATCTAGTAGGTACATCGCAATCTATAATCAGTAATAATTGTTATTAAAGAAGAAATTATGAAAACTACTGTAACCAACGATAATACATTTTATCAGAACACAATGGCTCGTGTCAAAACCTATACATTATTAGTTCATAGTCTTTATTCGTAGTAATCTATTTTGTCATGTTTGCAATTTTGTAATGTAGTGGATAACACACTATGTTAGTTTATGTAAAATTAAGGGCTATAATCCTCAAATGAGTTAATCGCTGAATGAGATAAAACCAATGAATGCGTTAGCTCGAACAATACTTAAGCCTCGATGTTGATGAATAAACAGGGGGCGTCGTTTTATTATAAACAAAATAACTAAACGTGTCATTAATGGACCTAGACATTCTGCAACAGACCTATGGATTAAATGAAATTAATTACACTACAGAGTTTGATATATAATTTAACACTTCCCCTTTGATCTAGCGACAACGGCTAATATGAATAATTTATAATGTTCAACGCGGTTCCTATTAGAATAAGTTACCGACGCATTTATAATAAACATGTACCCACTGATTTATGCGATGTACAGCAATATTAATAAATAACAACAACGAACTACTTTTAATAATAATATTAATTGAGGTTATTTTTCGTAAGGTTGAAAGATTTATCAACATACTATTTTTGTTGACACCAATAAGTTAAGACTTTAATAATGACATCTATCTCATTTTTTGTTCTACATAACATTATATATACTAAAAAATAATAGACATTTTCTCATAGTAATTTAGTATTCGTATACTAAGTAAAAAGGTTTCATATTAATTTTTGATGATATCGTTATGTATAGGAACAATAATTTGAAATATGAATTTCATTTGTGATTCGATGACATCATACTCACATGCGCTAAGTGGGATTGCACGTGTCTGGTCGAATCCTTGATGGACACGGGATGGGACGAGAACTGCGATACCAGGGTCTTGCTCCTGGTCACCGACCGTGCCAGCTTGGCGAACTTGCTTAGGCCTGCTAACAGATCTCCTGGTGTTGGGCAAGGCACAACGAAAACAAAAACAAACAAAAACGCACTCAGCATGCAACCAAACAAAACGCACAACCAAAAAACATGATCAAAAATAAAAAATAAAAATAAATACAGGAATGTTCGTGTTGTCTCTAGCTTCGATGAGGAGCTGAGAAGACAGGCTATTGGTTTTGTGTGCAGGATTTCATAATATGTTCCTTCTTTATAAAACACTATAAAATAACCATTGACTCTTATTTGTATAAATAATACCTAATAGTGCTGAGACAAGATTCGTGTGATTATGTGTGCATGCGTCACAACAAGTTTCAGTAAACATATATTTTGTTTAACATGTTCATTTTGAATTAAGATATCACACTATTATAGATTGAGAGAAATGCAAGTGAAACTTTTTAAATATAATAGCTAGCATGTCAATTGAGTTCTTGAAAAATCTATTGTAAATGTTTAGATTAGAAAGGCCGTGTTACAGAAAAAAAAATATTAGGTTTAATGCACAAATCACACTATATATTTAATTTTTTTCAATATTAAAACCATTTTAACATTTAACTGTAAACTACATACGAACGAGCCTTAGTGAATTAGTTTACAATATGATTTAAAATCATTTGTTTGCAGGGAATAATAATTAAATATTAGAAAATTGGCCAAGGAATAAAACATGGTAACTAATAAGATGATAGTGGAAGATAAAGAGTTCTCCTTATTATCCTCCAATCATTCAATCAGTGTGCATACTAACGACATTTGTTCAAACAGATCCCAAATAATATATTGTTATCTAACTGCTTGGATAATTTGCCTCTCGCAATTTCATAAATTCAGAACGCACTAAAGCTTTATGCCTTTTTTAATTTAATTACGGAAAAGCTGATTAAACTACACTTTATGAATAATATTGAAAAGTGACCGTTGAGATTTTTATAACATTCCCTTGTCGAGGGGACACATTTCAAGTTGATTTTCATGTTTTAGTTTTTACCCTCTGGGAGTTTTATTTTTTTTTTTACTTTTTACCGGCGCGGAGCATGAGAGTATTTCCGACTAAACCGCATAAATTTTGTAAAAAAAAAGTAAATAAATAAATAAATTACTAACTCAGTTATAAAACAAACAATAATTATAATTTGTTTAATAAAAAACAGTCGCATAAAAAATGGTTTAGACTCGTTTTGACGCTGCTGCTCTTACCGGGAGACCTAAATGACTATTGTAAATGAGTTTATAATATAATAATATAACATTAGTATGTATTTGAATGTGTATGTGGTATAGGAAACAACAAAAGGAGAATCGCCGTCACACACAATGTGTAAAAAAAGTAACAACAACAAAACACGAAACATGCACATACCATTATACATCCTAATCCCTATAATAAGTATAGCTACTTCGTTAAATAGGTCCGTCCAACTCTATGCAGTTGTCATATTACATGAGTACGGTTGATCTATGGGAATGTGGACTAAAGTAATAGTACAATCTAAATGATATTACTAACTTAGGATTTTCTCGTTGTCGTGTGATTAATGTACGACAACAATTTCACTAAAAAACTGTGTATGATTTATGAATTTCATACAACACACATACGTTTACGGCTAACACACGCATTTCAACATTAGCAAAACAAACTAACCTTATCTTGTCTTTGTTTTTACAAAACAAACAACGAAATTCCCATTTACACTATATCACATCAACTAACTAATGTCTCGGATGCCACCCATCAATTTAAAACATTTATTATACTCTAAACGTTTGTCGAGGTTTGCTGGAAAATAGTATAAATGCCTACAAAGTGTATTGTTATAATATATTTGATTTGACGTTTATAAAACAATAAATTATTGAATAATTATGTGGTTCATAATATTTAAGAAACCGATGTTATTTAATATTTGATTTCATGTTGCAAAAATATTGTGGCAGTGTTGTTAAAAAAAAAATATATTCATATTTATCATTAAAGAATTATTAAAAAAATGTTTACATTTAATATTATTGCCGAGTGGGGTGTTGGATGATTAACCCATACGATTCAAATGTCAATGACATTAACATAAAATATTCAAATATGTATGTTACATGTTTGTGTAAGTTGGGAGGGAGGTTAAACAATATTCGGTTAAAATATAAAATCATTTTTTTGAAAAAAACTGATATTTTTGTAGGAGTTTCGCGATTTTAGTACTTTTAGTCATAACTATAAAAAGCATTAAAATTGTATCGAAATATTAATTATTTATTTTATTATTATAACGCTATATACTATGCATCAAAATGGGTCCCGCCGTTGCGTATTTTGGTAAGGTGCGATCAATAATGGTAATAATAATTATAATAGTTTTCCCCGTGAACTATACTCGAAAGCGTAAACGACCGTGCTCAGGTGCACTTGTTTTAATTACCCTCTTTCCCGTCACCAATACATTATTATCGTAATAACATTATAATATGCCTATATATTAACGTGTGCTCTACACTAGGACGGGTCAGTATATATATATATATATATATATATATATGTAAATAATATATTAAACTGTATAGTAGATATTATAATAATGATTTACGGCCTTTGAAAATTATTATCATAACAGTATAATTCGTGCACAATTCAAAACGCCACATAAACACTCGCACAACACAACTTTCTTAAATAACAACAACAATAATTTAATATATTCGAATGCATTACACAGGGTCGGGTCGGGGTAGGTTACGTTTGGAACCATGTCCATAACGTACCGGATAGCTGTACCGGAATAGCATTGAAAGTTATCAACATATTATTATCATTTTACCCGGTACCTAAGCGTATTTGGAAACCGAAAACTTAATTTATTTATCGGTCGCCCATAGGCAAAGATTACATAATTTTTAGGTATAGCCTACCTAAACGGTAAACGTGTTTAACCCTAATAAACGTCGTCACGGCTATGACAATCCCCAAACGGCACTTGGCCGTTCGCCGGACCTTTGCTTGTTACCAACCGTTTTGCATTCAACTATTAGCAGTTTACCGGAATGACAAAGGGGAAAATCATAATTAATTTCGTTGAACTCGGACGGTTGGCTAACAAAAATTGTCTTATTAACACGAGACAGATACGACGTTAAGTTACATAAAAAAAAACAAAGAAAATTGTTCTAAATTATTATTTTTTCTTAATGTTTTCAATTTACCGAGAATCCGCAGTACCAAAATTTTTTTATTCAATCCACGACGGCTATTATTTTTATTTTTTTCGTTTTAATTAAAAGTCAGTCATATGTTAAAAGAAAAAGTTTTAATAGATAGGGGCAGGGGACCGTTTTTATCTGTTTTATCAACACTGTACCGAAGTCATGTCAAAGGCAAAAAAAAAACAGTGCACCTACGTATATACAATGAATTCGCTGTGTTCGAATTTCATTTCCTGTCAATGACAGTTCTATCGTTCGAATCTCATTAAGTGAAAATAAACGGCCTGACCGAAATCTACTTATGCCCACGCGTTGTTGGACACGTAAAACCCGTCAGCTTATGAACAATAGCGTTAAATGGCCAATTTTAATCAATTTAGTTTAATTACAGCGGCTACAGTCAAAGTGGCCTCGCACATCAATTACATTTTCACGCTGATAACGTTCAAACTGTCTCACCCACGGGTCCCGCCGTTAAAATGTTAATTTAAATTTAATGATTCATATAAAACACAACAAAAAAAAAAACCTTCGAATATATTTGCTTAATCTATTTAGGTGTGGTTTTCGAAATAATATATTCGACTTACCGCCTTTGGAGTCTTCTGATTCGATGGGCTGTTTGAGGGCCGTGATGTCCCTGAACGTGAGCAGGAACAGCACCACGAGGTCCCGTTCGTTCTTGATCGGGGCTATCTGCATGAGCAGCCATAGTGGAGTCTCTAACAAATATCACACAATCCGCAAACCGTTATATTATTAACGTTAATATTAGGAAAACAAAAGTTCATATTGATATCATTTTAGCCGCGCCAAACCATTCAACGTATCAATGTAACTTTTATCAACAATACAAGTATCGAGGAATTAGTATACGGGTTCTGGTTCCTCCGCCAATAAATAATTAACAAACTATCATTATAGAATAATAATACAATGGATAACCAGAAATATAGTTATCTACGTTTTAGCAAAATTTATATTTTTATACTTAATGGTGTTGCTGCATTACAACGCGTAAATAATACAATAATTCAGCATTTAATAGCTTCGAAATACCTAACATTTTAATATCAGCCCTTGAACCAATTGGTTAACTATGGTATAGGATAGAATAATATTGACGAAAAGTCCGTTAATTTGTTAAAATTTAAAATCATACAACTTAAGCTCAAAATATTTCTAAGATACTTGAACATGTTTTACCAAAAAAAAAAAAAATTTTCACAATACGTATTTAATATGTATTTCTCCGATTGGCGATCCTTATTAGTTAAGCCTAATTTCATCAAAAAAATTAAATTTTAACTGTTTTTGATTCAGGAAAAAATCGAATTTAAACAGTTGAAATTGGACTTAACTAGGTTTAGGGCTGCTAAGCACAAATTTATTGTCTGGAAAATGAGTTTGTTATATTTTATTAAATCATAAGCTTTTTGTCATTTTTTTTTAAATTGTTGCTCACGGACTTTTTTCAATAGATGTTACAAAATATTATTCGAAGCGTTTCTAAAATAATGCTTGTTACTTTTTTGAATAAAGTAACGTCATACAGGTGAAATAGTTGGGTGTACAAAAAGCGGTTAAATGCTAAATAAAATTACTCCGCTTATAATTAGATTTACTTAGCATTAGGGATATTTAACTACAGTGTTTCACTCATCAAGCGAAACACAATAATAATTGTCGATATCATAAAATTGATAATATGTGGGTTGTTTTCGATAAATTAATATAAAAAAAAATTAAAAAAAATAAGTAAAACTGTTATAAGCTTTATTTTTACAACAAAAAATAGTAATAATGCTAAACTATTTTGGTATGACTAACCGTTTACAGAGGGCAATACAAATTCAAGCGTTCAAATAGACTAAGATCCACTGAGGAGAATATTACACAAATTTAGATAAGTAATGCACTGCATATGTAAGCAGTGTAGGGTTGTGATTTAAATTCGAATAATTGTAGTGTGTACAAGTAAATTTTTTAAGACTTTATTTCGACTTTCGATTACATACTTTTGCGTGCTTGGCTTATTATATTATTGCTAATATTATATTATAAATTAATACAAATTATTATTATTTTTAAGTACTCATAATCGTGCGTACAGAATATGTTCGTAGTAGGTAAAACAATACATACATTTTAGAAAACTACTTATAATATTTTATAAAATGTGTTTAAGTTTAACAACGTGATAACCGACTATGTAGGTGTTTTCTTTTGTTGTACTTTTTTATAAAAAGCTTTATAAAAATTTTACGGATTTCTATATCAAAGACTAAGTACATATTATTATGCTATCACGACAGGATGTGTTTAAACGTTGAGCAAAGAAATAATGGATGTTTACGTATATTATGTATATACATATACGTTATATTATGTATAAGGTTGCTTATAGCGATACAAATATAAATGTATACAACAACTAATCCGATAATATCATCTACGGTACCTGCTCGAGTTTTAAGCCAACATACCTTCTGGCAGATCTGTGTTTGTACATATTTAAAACAAAGAAATTGGAGTTAGTTTTATTTAAGAGAAACAATGTTTTATTTTTTATTTTTTTATAACAGCGCATATAGGTATTTATTTAAATAAGATAAACAACTGTTGACTTCAAATATTGTTTTTCGCATCAATTTTTTTATGTACCATCCTATGTTCTTATTTCAGACATATTGTCTAACAGCTAATATGCATTACTACGTACAATAATAGTCCATTATAAACATTGAAGATAATACTTAAACAACCGGTCTAACGAATAAAATGTTTGAACAGTATTTATCAAGCTTTTGTTAAATTGCAAATTGCTTTTAGTTATAATATGTTTAGTAAGCCAATATTTTAAAATTTAATATAATAAAAAAAACAACGAATACAGTATTATAATTTATTCTATAATATTATTATCGTTACTGAACACAGTGTGGACACACGCATAAAAAATAATTGATTATCACCAAAGTATAATGCCTAGTAAAAAACCGTATTATAATACTATTGAACCAACAGAATTACACAATTAAATCATTTAAGCCGGGTCCACACGATAATAGTACCTACTCGGTAGCTGTTATCATGTGCTCACATACTGTATGAAACGTGATTGACCCGTTGGTGACACCTTCATTAGAGAAGCTTACACGTTACATAGCCTTTTTATATAACAAAAGTTATTAAAAATTAATTTCCTAACTGGAAACTAATTTTGTCTTTTTTTTTTTGCCCAAAATCGGTAGAGCGATGAATACAATCTAAATCCTATTTGTCAACATACAACATTATCTACCCACGTTTCGCATTCATTCCAGGAGCTATCCATCACTAGGGTTGTGACAATTGTCCCAGGAAAGAGTCAATCAGCACTATTGTTGAAAATGACCACAGAGTAATGTAAATATAAATATCTGAATTGCATTATAATTGATCACCGGGTAATAAATGTACCTCAATTTAGGATTTTAAGAAAAATGTAGATACAAGTTAGCCGCTATCTTATAAAAAAACTCCCTTCTCCCATTACGTAGTACGGCATTTAATCCTAATATGATAATAATTTAAAATTAATCATCATTTATTATTAACTGATTTTAATATTATTTATTACATTACATTCGTTCGTAAAAAAGAAAATAGGCTAAATGCATTTAAATACATGTAATTATATATAGCCAACATTGAGAACCTATTTTTAACTATGTAAATATAATATAATCAATGTGCATTTTATATAATATAATATAATTAAAAATATATATAGAATAGTTCAAAGTTTATCTCGACTGCGAATAAAAAGCTTAAAAATACACATGTAATTAAGTTTAAAGCACATGATAGTTTTAATTTGTAAAAGACACTAAAGAGTTAGTTTATGCATACAATTATTTTGGTTGTATCTTGTTCGTTAGTTTGAATATATGGATTTTTTTTTTAATTAATAGAAAATATACGTTTTACTGTAATAAAATAAATATATTATGAAAAATAAACTTCCCATGCGAGTTAGTCAATGGAATATCATGACAATTGACTTTTTTGACGGACGGTCAACCCCTCGTTCGAGTTTTTTTTTAACGCGATCAAGAGCACTGTTTTTTTTATTAACAATATCACAACTTGCTCGTTTATGGAAATAACAAAAACTGACAATTCGTTGTATTTTATTATTGTATCGTACATTGTTTTATATGACGATAAAAATAAATAATAATCGTTTCTACTGAATTATTTTTTTTTTTTATTAACTTTTGTGCATTTTTACCATTTTGCAAAAATAAAAAGATACCTATAACGAAATCGATATCTGCGAGATAAAAACAAAGTTAGTTCAACACAGAACGTTGTATTCGACGAATCGAAATAACTTAATTTCCGTTTTACCTGACAAGGGGTCTTGCAATTTAATAACATATTATATAAATATTATCTTTTTTCATAATATAAAAAAAAAATACTGTCAAGAATTTCATGCGAATAAAAATAAAAGTGCTTCTTTGGCAGTAAGAAGCGCCGGAATGGATCAACGTTTTGAAAATGTTGAATTCATACGGTAATGCTTAACAGTTAACATAATTTTAAACAATGCAAAAAATGGTGTTTTATATATTATTATCTTAACCGACGAATATCATTCTGACGTTATGATAAATGAACGTTTGTTTCGTTGTAAAAAGTTTCCATTATTCCAATTCGTATTTTATCTTTTTTATTATTTAAGGTAACACATGAGAAGTAATTGATGACCTTAGGTTACATAGAGCTTTTATTTAAGTAATTAATGAATAGGCTCGTGCAACCCACGTTGGTGTTTACGCTAACAGTTAAGTCGTACGCCATAAGTACAATTAGTTAACGAAAGTTTAATGCAACACTTGAACTAAGTGAAAGGAGTTATACGTCTAGTAAAAGTCGAGCTTATGATTTGTAAAATGAACGATTATTGATTTTGGAATTGCATTGGAATCAAACAAACAAATGAATGGAGGAAAAAGTATTAATTGAAATGTTTTTCAAAGGCGTTTAGTTAAACTCGCAGAAATTTTTTTTTTAATTCATTATTTTGTACAAAAAAAAAAATGAGATAAAAACTATAACGTACAATTAATATTCAACTGCAGACATTCTTTTAGTTTTGAGATACTATTAAGAGTCACACATTTTTTTTTTATGACAAATATTATTAGTTGACTATACATTAACTTTCAAGATAAGTTTTAAACGTTATCTATTTTCTTAAAATGAATAAGTACCTACAATTTGTATCATCTAAACGTGAAATAAAATTAATTATTTAATTATATACCTAAAAATACTATGTTACTTGATAGTTTCAATAAATCGTCGACTACCCCTCCATTCCAGTTTACCTTCTGGTTACATGCTAGTTTATTTATTTTCATAAGATAAGTTTTTTAATTATTTTTATCTACTACACACGACACTTTATATTTATTAATTTATAAAAATCAAGTATTTTTACTCTAAAAAGAAATCAGAAAGTTTTTCAATTTGTTTTATCTTTTTAAAATCAATATAAGCGTTGCAACGGATTAGTCCAATACTTAAAAATACATAATTTGAGTACCGACTGCAGAAACTTTACGGTTTAGTTGTTTACCATAGATAAATATATATATTTTTTTTTCATTCGATTAATTATAAGTTTTTAATTCTTTGAAATTAAATATGACAAACTAAAAAGAATATGACATCTTTAAGTACATATACTTTGTATAAAGTAATACAATCTATTTTTATAAATGATCTCAAAATGATTCAGTAAATTCACTATTATTAATTAACATCGTTAAGTACACCGATATTTAAATATTCATTTGGCATATAATTTTTATGGACGAGACGCGTACAGTTGATTTGTTTAATCTAAATGCCTTCATAGATACTCACTGTTCTTTTTGTAGAGTAAAATCTCGAATTGGTCGTGGTAGTGACCCTCGAGCACTTCGTCTATTCTGCAAATCGTTTCTTTGTCCGTAAGGTCACCATACATGAAGGAACACCGACATGATTTTTGCATAACCTAAAACCAAAAGTATTTATTTGAACTCTTGTGCTTGTGTTTGTATTTTCAGAAATAAAATTACTTTAAATATTTATACATATATATATATATTACATGTTATTTTCAAGTTACACAAAACTCATAAATTTTAAATTATATGAAAACCTATTAAATAATGATTACCTCCGCTCTGTTATAGCCAGATATTTTGCAGAACGATTCGTTGCAGTAGACAATTGGAAAGTCGACAATTTGCGCATTTGCCAAAAGAAAACTGCTGTCCGCTGTAAAAAAAAAAAAATACATAAGATATTTTGTCCATTTTAAACTTGGCAATAATAACTATTAGAGCAGGTGTCCTGTGAGAATACACTAATTGCAATTTCATTTGGAGGGATAAAAATAAAGTCATCTTGTAAATAAAATGTTTTTCTCGTGGATAATTTATATGGAATTATTTATAATGTTACTATCGATACCCATTTAATTTCTAAATTGTAGGTCTAAATAATTATAGGTCCAAGCCGTTCATCTGTTTTATATTTAAAAACAATACATTTAAATTATTATCTTTTGCTCTATGTTGTATATTTTTATATTGAATTAATTAGACTTTTAAGAAACTGCGTAGAAAATTATTTTCTATAAACATATTGACTGGTGGATCATTAATTGTAAACAACTACATTTTTTAATAGTTGAGCATTTATCCAAGTTAAAAAAACATAAATAAATAATAATTAGTGTTCTTGTTACAAAATATTTTTAAAGAGTTTCAAATTATCTCTATTGACACGATTTTTTCATTGCAACATGACTTTCATTGCTCATTAACTTCTTTAATTACGCTCTTCAAGACTCAGCGACTCGAGTTACAATTACACAATATATTTATATTTTATATAAATTATACATTTATTTTTAGTTTTAATTAGTTATAAAGTAAAAAAAAAAAACCTAATTAAACATCGTTTTAAAGCTACTCTCATTTCAAGTATGAATAGTATTTTTATATTGTACTAAAGCACTGTGTTAAAATTATTAAAGATTTTAATTATAAATTGAACTTTTAAATGAATTACATCCTAAATTGTTTATTTAAAAGCCTACAAGAGACAAATTATATGTACTGTTGCTGTCAATTTATTTGTATATCAATATCAAAATACTAATGATAAAAAATAATTATACTTAAAACCGTCGCCATTTAAAATATATTATATCATCGTTTATTAATTTTTGAAAATGTCTGCACGATTGTTGTTTCCTATTTTTATCTTCTAAGTTGTAACTATAGTGGTAAGTAATAAATAATATTAGATAGTATAAATAATAGTGTAATAGACATAACGGACCTAAGTTTATTTTATTTTAGAACACATTGTAGGCAATCGTATTATACTGTTTCGGGACGACTTATTTTAGTGGCCTTTTGTGTTTGGACACAGCTATGTACCTAAATTGCCTATATAATGCGCCTTGCCATAAAATAAAAAAGCTATTTTTGAAAAACATTTTCAACGTTCGCTTCTGTTAACAATAATAGGTGTAGGTACGATATAAATTATAAATATTTAATTAAATTCGCCTATCGGGTTATTTTATTTGGATTTTTAATTAACGATATATATATTTTTTTTTTGACAGCCTCGAATGGTCACTGGAATCGTTAAAGAAACGTCCGTTCATTTCCAAATTATTTAAATAGCATTTTTCGCCAGTTTAAACGTGAAGTTAGCATTAAAAACGGCCCAGCGGTTTTGTTGTCAGATAAAAAGAAAGAAACTGTGTTCAGAACATCACCTGTAGCCCTCGGCAGCTTAAATTGATTAATCCATTTAGTGCGTTACAACGAGTGCGATACGCTTCGTTTGCGATACCAGTAGCACTTGGAGCGAAATACCATTGCACGTGTACATAGCACCGACGGTAGACAAAGAAATCGAAATCCTGACAAATCGAGAGCCCACTCGTTGGAATAATTAGAAATACGTTTTGAATGATATTACAGTTTTATTAATTTTTTTAGCGGTTTTTTTTTTTTAAAAGAGAATGTGTACAAATTTGATTTTTAACAAAAAATATTTAAAAAAAATCTTTTGTTGGTAGACGGTGAAAAAATCGCGGCTTAGCAACAGCACAAGAATAAAGTGTCTACAACAATGAAAAGAAAAAATGTATATCCCCACCATAGTAAAACCAATATCTTCCACGCTACACGAGCATAGCCTATAAACAAAAAAAAAAGGCACGAAAATGTTCACTTGACGTATAAATGAACAAAATAAAAAATAAAGTATATTCGGTTGACAAACATCTCACTTATAAGCCACTTGAAAGATAATATATATATATATATATTTCTTTTTTTTTTTTGCGAGAAAACTCATACCGCCGTCAAAATAACCGATTAAAGAAAGACCCTTTTTTGTTCTTTGACAAACTCGTTTAATGAACCACGCGCATTTCGAGAGCATAATGATGCTGAATTAATGGAAATATCTCAAGAGAAATTGCGTTTAGCCAACAATCGAAGTACGAACCATTGGCATTTATTATATGCTTTAATGTGCCTTAAGATATTTAAGCAATTACGTCGTTGAGATGGCAATAAAGCGGTTTTATATAGTTCATACGAGCTACCATAATCATTTATTTTATGTTTTGTCTAGCTGTCGAATTACACAAGTGAGACTGAACGATAGAGTGTTGTCCAACGGTATTTCTCATTTTAGAACCATTTTCATATTTACACATAACGAACAAATTTTTGGTTTTTTTTTAGCCATTTTCCTTTCTAATCTGACCAGATGGTGTGCCGCGGAAACCCACCATAGTAGTGTAGTGTTTAACGTATATATAATGTGTATTTGAACTAATTTTGATTGCCGAACAAAAATTGTTACTTCAAAAAATGTGTAGTCACATTTTTTGTTTTTATTGAAGAAAACTAAAAAGCCTAATAACATATGATTATATATGGACGCGTCGTACGAAAAAAAGTACCGTTCAAGTTCTTACGAAAACTAATACCGTTCGAGGCGGCTTCTTACGAAAAGTGGCACCGTTAGCGATGACCTTACGAAAAGTGGCACCGTTCGCGAATTTCTTACGAAAACTAGCACCGTTGGCACCAATGGCACCAATTCACGAACGGTGCCTGTCTTCGTAAGAAGTCACGAACGGTGCTTCTTTTCGTACGACGCGTCGATATGTTTATGTTTTTGCCCGTATAGTATAATATTAAAATGTTTTCGATTTTCTTTATTTTACAACCTTTAGTTTCACAATAAAGTTTATTTTATAAAAGCGATAAAATTACTTTCATAATTTCTAAAAACCAAAGACTATGCTCCAATGTCACTACGCCCCAATCCACTGTGCTGGTATACTTTTGCGTTTCAAAAACATGTTAAATTTGTAGTACTTTTTGGCTCGTCTTTAAAAATGATTTTTGTGTAATAATATTATTATGTTATTACTATTAATACTATTATATCATATATATATATATATATATATACTATAATACGTGAAGCCAATCCGAACAAAAAATATATATCTAATGTAAATATTCAAAGTCTTCTTTGCAATTTATAATCGATAGCAAAATATCGTATTTTAAATAAATATATTTAAGGGAACGGAAAGCGTTATTTATTAAAGGGCAAAATATATAGGCAATAATTGTTAAAAATAATCTAATAATAGTGAAGCTTACTACTATTTTATGGGGGATAAATGGCCGAATTTTGATTTAACAATTAGAAAATTAGTTTATCAGGAAAAATATAAATAATTATAACATATTTTTGAAAACAAATATAAAAAATCGGCCTTTTAGTCCCCAAATAGAAGATTGTTGAAATCGGTTCTGTAGACACTTCAGAAAGTGACTTCACGTTTCAATGTTATTTGTGAAAAAAAAAAATTGACGTTTTCCTTTCCCATTAAATACCATTACTCAAAGACTTTACAACACGCGGTATAATAATGTTTATGGGTCGATTTGAACGCATTATATGTATATATTATGTCGATATGATAATAATGGTCGAGTGTATTAACGCGGCCACCTGTCGCATTGAAATGCCTAACCGACGTCGATCATGCAGTTTCGTCGCCCCGATGGCCCTTGACTCGGGTAGGTACGAAATGGTTATAATGACAATAATATATAGTGTTATTATTATCACTGTGGTGTAGCCGCCAAGATGATGTCTAATGTAATAAACGTCTGGAACGTGCGCAGTAGTGCGGTAATTGTCGTCATTCATGGACCACACCGACGGGATCTGATGGCACGGCCAAAGAGTTGGGCTCTGACGACCCATTAACAAGGCGCGATGACCATGGACAGAGGAGAGCACGGACCGCGGCCGGATGGCAACTGTACGGTGGAAGCGAACGGCGGCGGTGGCGGGCCCGAGGAAGTCTCACGCAGATCAATAGCAGCGCGCCCCGGACACGTGGGGCGGTTGCCTCTGACGCGGCCGAGCGAGTTGTGTGCGGCGGCGGTGGCGGCGACGGGGAGAGGAGCGGACCGCGAGAGTCGCTTCCTCCGGTCGTCGTTTCGGTCTCGTACCAAGGCGGCAATTCCGGCCGGCCCGAGATCTCGGCACCCCTTAAACTTCCACCACAGTTCTACCGTTTTTTTACAAACGACTGCAAACGACACTACGGTATCAGCCGCGACAACCGGCCAAAAGAATCGGCGGGAACCGCGCGAACCGCCGACGTGACCTTTGTGCACGCGGTTATTGACCCGCGCGCGCGCGTCCGCGTGACGTCATCCGATTCTATGACGTCACGGTCTACGAGCACACATTATAACCGCCATTCGCGTACACCCGGTAACCCACTAACGCGCGCCAAGAGGCTCACACGGCGGAATTTGCTTGGGAAATTTAAAAAAAAAACCTTTAACGTCGGCGATGGACCCCCCGAAGGATCGGCGACAAGTTTATTTCCTGACCTTTTTTTTTTTTTTTGTTCTCGACACGATATCTCGTTTTAAACGGACAACACGTGTCCGTTATTCCGACGCCCGAAAAAAAGAAGCGTAGGTGCAAAATTTACATTAACCGTATCGACCGGCCGTATATGATATTGTGTGTGGTGTACGTGTACCCCCGGTGTGTTTCTGGGTTCAAAAGTGTTCACCGATACTACCCGCGGCTTTAGGCGTAGTCCGTGCAAACGGCTGCAGTTGCGGGTGGCACGTGTATCAACTGCACAGGCCTGCGGTATCTATATAGTCTTTCTACGCGGTTTGCCCGAATCC